TAAATATGATCTTTTGGCTTTAAAAATAAACTTCTCTAACGAACTGCCACAGTGAAGTAACATTCCACTTTGACACCATTGAGAGTCCACTTTCCATGTCTTATGTTACTTGGGATGTATTAAGAAGGCTACACCACTTGTAACAACACAAAACAACTTCTATATTAAATAATATCAAACAGCAAAAAAAGAGAGACAGAAATAGCAATGGCAAAGAAAACAAACCAGAAAGCACCTCTCAAAAAGAAACCAAACAAACAAGAAATACTAACAACAACCTCAACAAAATGAAATGAGCTAAGCTTACAATACAAACAAGCAACAACATGAAGAAGAAGAGAAAACAGAAATAAAAAACAACCAAGACCTTAAGAAAAACAAAAGACACAAAACTATAGATACACCACAACCTAATATCAGAATAGAAAATCTAGAAAAAAGTAGGCAAAATGGCTTATCCCAACAGATTCACATGTGGGAAAAAATAATAACAACGACAACACAACAATTACTAATTCAGATGAGATCACAGCAACTCAAACCAAATTAGGAGATTTGCAATGCACTAGCGACAACAATAACAATAAACAGGAAATTACAACTAACAAATCAGATGATGCAATAACTGAAATAGAAAGTAACTAAATATCTAATAGCCAAACTAGGAATACTAGTAACATAACTATAGAAATAATAAGCCTAGAATCATCTTGTACAATAACTCCAGATATTGAACTCAACTAAGAGAAAATAGCTAAAGAGGAAAAAACCAAAAGCAAGAAAACTTCATATAGCCAAGCTCTCCAACAAAACCTAGAAAATAGTATGCATTTAGAAACAGATACAGACTACACAGATCACTAGCAGCAATATGTGAAAAAAGTAATAGAAAATGCAATAACAAAGGAATTCGATACAGAGACATGGAATTACAATAAAATCATCCAAGCTCTTAACACAAATGAAGGAATAAAAAACTTTATAGAATACAAACTCAATATAATAACTACTAATATTCAAATTCCTGAGACAATAAAGAAAAAATTCATTTACAAAGACACAGCCTTCTTTATAACTTTTATACAAGAGAAAAATACAACACTAGCATACCAAAAAGAGTTCATTAACTTACAAACAAAGGCAATACAGGTATAGAAACAAACTAACGAAATTACCTTGCTAAACAGAAAAGTAAAAGATATGATCTAACTCAAACTACGACAAAAAATTATAATTGACTACTTGCTTAATACAAACTTCTGGAAATTTAACAAGTACCAAATATACCAAGAATTAAAATATGCAAGAAATTTTATAAAAGCAGAAAAAATTGAAGATTACACTACAACACAGAAAGCAATAGAAGATACAATAAACGCAAAACTTCAAGAACTTCTTGAAAGGCCAAATTTAATCTCAGAAGAGATATGAAACATCCTATCATTTGAACTACTAATCAAAAAAAGGTCTCAAACAACTGCTATAGTAAATACACTAAGAATCATTTACAACTTTAGTTGTCTACCTAATTCATATTTCAAAGAGTTACTTCAACTCCCTAAAACACCTTATGATCTACCTATTGAGATGAAATATGTTTTCCCAATGTGTACTAGAAGCCAACTTCAATAACTCTGCTACCATGTACAAAAGCTTTGAGATCACTATAGTTTTGAGTAACTACCAAAAACATATTTCGATCTACCATCACTAAGAGAAGCCTTACCTGTAATATACCATGAGCTCAACAGCTGAGTTCGTGAAATATTCCCAGTAGACCTATCAACAGAAGAGTACACAATCAAAGAAGTAAAAGATATACTAAAAGAATACTATATTTTCAAGAATATACCTAATGACTACTTCAAACAAAGACTTCTACTACCCAAAGATCCTCAAAAAATTAATCTCAATACCAAATTTATATACCTAATAACAGACAATGAAGAAGCAAGAAAATTCATAAAAGTTGCTGAAAAGAAGTACAAAATAGGACTCCTAATTGCAGCAGAAATTATGACTGCAAATCCTACTAACAAACTATAGTTACCTCATGACTATAAAGAAATCAAAGAATTCAATCTAACTATTCCTATTAATACACCATAATTACTAACTGAAACAGCAAGACTACTTAGAACTACATATTACTTTACAAGAATCCTTGATGAGTAAATCAATATTAAACCAAGACAACATAATACACAAAATCAAACAGAGAATGAAACAAAGCCCCTAATCCCACCTATGATCATTAAACTCCAAGAGTATATAGAAAATAAAGAAATTAAGCTCCGAATTGAACTACCTATCACCATACAACAAGAAATCACGCTAACAATCAATAAGCTTAAAGAGCACTTTGAGATACCACAAATCCCAAACTATTTACTAAATCTATCAGAACTTTCTGTACCATCCTGAAATATCTTTTACTAATAACAGAAAACAACAGAAGTACTAACAAAAACAAAAACAACCCACTAAAAAATAACTTAAAAATTATAACTCACAACGTACGAGGCCTAAATAATAACTTAAAAAGACAAATCTGGCTAGAGTACTGTAAATAACAAGATATCGATATAGATAGCATTACATAAACAAAATTAGCAGAATCAAAATTTGAGACAATAGAGCTACAAAACCCCTGGTACAAGATATATACAGCAAACAACAACTCAACAAATATAAAGGGACAAGAGACAAGCCTTGATACAGCAATTGTAATAAAACATACTCTCCAACTATATATCCACAATATTCAAACAGAGCCAGGCACTGCAATAAGTGTTGATCTCTTCTTTCCAAATAAGATAAAACTCTAAATTATTTCGGTATATCTACCTTATAACAAGATATTAAATACAAAGACTCAAAATTGAATCATTATGTAGACAAAACAGGCAACAAGCAAGGAGATAATACCAATAATCCTAGGAGATTTCAATATTGATCTAAAAAAATATAAACAAAAAACCCAACTCATTACATATATAGAGAGAAATAATATGCTCCCACTACTCCACACTCTGATACCAAACATACCTACATGGAACGCAAGAGGTTCTAGCAGCCAAATAGATGAGATATGGATCTCATCAATACAAATTAACGAATTCACAACACCACAAATCATCAATGCAATACATATTATAGACAGCGACTATTGTATTATATAAACACAATGAAATACACAAGACAAAATACTACATATACAACAGAAGAGTATATATAAAAGAAGAATATACAACTACAACGGAATGACCAAGGAAAAATAGGAGCAATTCAATAAGAAGGTAGAACAACTAATCAATAATATTACAACTTCAAAGTCAGACAAAAAACAGACAGAAAATACATATCAGTTAAACAAAATATAGAATAAACTTGCTGCAGCAATGATAGAAAGAGCAAAAAAAGATATCCCTAATACAACAAGAAAGATAAACTACTCAATTATCAAAAAATATAACTACTATGCAACCAAAACACATAAAGTCCTCACGAATATTAGATCAGTATTAAGGCATATAGAGACTAATACCCCACAGATCAATAGAAAGTAGTGCAACCAAAAAATTATTCAAATCAACAAATCAGTTAAAGAAACTGTACTAGAAATAGTGGATATAGAATCATTCTCTAACATATTTCAAATACTCCTAAAAGGAAAAAGAGAAATTACTAAAGCCTGCAATATTGAAACAAAATTAGAAAAACACAAAACATCAAAGAAAAAATACAAAGATACTACCAAAACTTCTCTAAAAACACATCCAAAATGATCTAAAGCATCTTACAAAAATACACAAACCCAGTAAATATATAAAATATCTGTATCGAAAATAGTCTAATCACAGACCCCACAAAAATCAAAGAAAAGATAAAAGACCACTTCAATAATTAGACAAAATATAATCCTACTAATATGGCATATTGGCCTGAATGGGAAAAAGAATATAAACCCAAAGAAACTATAAGAGGAAACTGGTATAATGAAACTACAAAACCAATAGATATCGCAGAGCTTAAAGAGATTATAAATGAAGCTCCACTCAGCAAAGCAGCAGGACCATCACAAATCTCTAATGAAATAATAAAATATCTAGGATCTAAAGTACTCAACATGCTCTTGATAACTCTAAACCTGTGCCTAAAAACACAGGACATACCAAAAGCATAGAAAAATAATACAATATACCTAATATCAAAAAGGCCAGTCTTTACAGGAGAACTCGAAATGACAAGACCAATAATACTAATAGAACACGCATGAAAAATCTTAACGAAGATAATAACTAGAAGACTAAATACCATCCTTGCCAAATACGAAATACTTAATTTGACTAACTATGTAGCATTACTTAACACATCTATTGCTATACTGATACAAACATTACAATATATCATAGAAGATGCAAATATAAATAAGAAAAGTTTATAGATACTTTCCTAAGATATGAGCAAAGCATACAACTCTGTATACATCCCCTTACTCAAAAAGGCTCTTGAATGGATCAAAATACCTAGAATGATAACAAATCTGATAGTGAATATTCTTTCAACACAGCAAAATAAAATCATTACAACATTCAGTAATACAAACTTATATAATGTGCAAGATGGCATAGACCAAGAAGAGACGATAACTCCACTATTGTGGAGAGTATATTATGACCTCCTCCTTGCTAACATTAACAGAACTTATAGATCATATACACTAACAACTACAACAGATACAACCAATGGCAAACCAAATACAACACAAGCTTACAATGTACTTGCATATATGGACGATATGTTATAGGTAACAAATAACCAAACCCAACTCAACTCTATTATAAAAACTGCTCAATCTTTCTACAATATGGCCAACATCAAGGTCAACTCAAATAAATCAATACTCGCAACAAACACAATATCGAAAATAGCTTCTACTGCAAGTATTACCTTTAATGACTAAATAATCTATGCAAATACACAAAGTACACTTTTTTGGTTTCTAGGTTGCTGATTTACAATTAACAATCACCAAAAGGCAGTGCAAAAAATAATAGAAAAAGAAATAAGTGAAGCACACAACTACTTAAGAAAGCAACTATTATTAAAAAACAAGCAATTTACATAATCAATTCAGTAATCCTAACACGATTCGAATACAGATCACAAAACTACATTCTCAATGAGAACAGATGCAATAAAATAACTAATTGATATATAACAATTGTCAAACAAAAAGCAAGTCTGCCACGTGGAATCCTTAATATTACAATACAAAACTACAAGTTATACGCCTTAAGGAAAATGTAAAATATTATTACACAACACCATATATCATCACTCACTAAACAACTAAACAGCAAAAACAACATGAATCAATCACTCAGAATCAGAATCCAACAGATACAAGATACTGTTGTATCAAATGAATCAATTCTAATTTCAAAAACAACAGTCATCCCAACACCAGAAGATAATACAACAACTGCAAAACAAATTATGCTACTGTATAAGTCAAATTTCAGTTTATTAAACCTGCTAGCGCCGTAGCCTATCATATACCAACAGAAAGGTACAAGTATCAACCTGATACTAAATGACCCACTAAACTCAGAAATATATAAACAAAAAACCAAAATAAAAGAAAAGTTAAACAAGCATAAACTGTACTACATAGAGCAGTTTACAGACATGAACAACACCACAGTAATAGAA